TAAACTCGTAAGTCAAGGCCCCACTGTAGTTTAAAATTGTACAGTAACATGCAGTTTTAAACTATATAATCTCCTTGTCAAAAATGTAAACATTACAGGTGAAGAGTGAAGTCTTCCTTGACTCTCTCTCCCCCGCCCCCAACCCAGACCTCCCCTCCCACCAAATAGACTGGGTCCGTTATGGATTTGGTGAGATCTGGGGCTTTTGTGGGTGCTTTTACACAGTAGATCTTTACAAAATGCAGGGTGTCATTCGATGACTTTCTATGTAGGGATTTTTTAGATTCTTGGTTTCTGATGTTTTTGCTTATATCCGTGGTGCCGCACGGAATGTTTTCTTCTTTTCTTTTTTTCTGCAGCTTGGTTCTGTCACTCAGCAGTATGTCTTCACTCGTGCCTTTAATCTTTTCTAATCAGGATGAATTCCCATCAGGGGAACCGCTGGGCCAGGGCACGCTGAGGCTGTCCTGAAGTCCTGCCCCAGGGGGTCCCCAGAGGTGGGGACCTGGTTATGGGCGGCCAGCAGCTCTGGCCAGCACACCTGTGTGACCGCCTGTGCCAGACGCTGACCGCGCATGCCCAGGGCCTGGGCTGGGGCATGACCTCCAAGGGGAAAAAAGTTCCTTGGCTCACGCCCAGGATGGCATCCGGGATTTCTCCTGGTGGGGGACCCTCCAGAGCCGAGGACGGAGTTCATTCTATCCTCAGTTTGGGGCCCATAAGCAATACTGATCACGTGAGACCCTTCTCCTGCTCGATTCATTATCTGATCCATTTAAGCTCTTCCACTTCCTCCAGAGCCGTGGTTCTCAACCTTCCTACTGCAGCTTTCATACAGTTCCTCATGTTGTGGTGACCCCCAACCATAAAATTATTTTCGTTGCTACTTCATCACTGTCATTTTGCTGCTGTTATGAATCGTCATGTAAATATCTGATTTGCAGGATGTATTTTCATGGTTACAAATTGAAGCATAATTGAAGCATAGTGATGAATCACAAAAACAATATGTAATTATATATGTGTTTTCCGATGGTCTTAGGCGACCCCTGTGAAAGGGTCATTCGA